AGTAATCCATGATCATGTCTAACAACTATTTGTCTACCTCTCTCCCTCCCCCACTTCCCCCAATATGTATATGTATATATACACATATACCTATATAGAACCACACACATATATCCATTTATTTGCAAATTTCTGATTTACTAATTACATTTTTATACCTTTTTTTAAATCTTACCATTGCTTATTTAGCAGTTTCCTACGTCATTAGAATTTCTTTTGATAAATATGAATGACTTTTCAGTGGCTGGAAGACACTGTGACAGTTGTACAAAATAATACAATCTTCCTCCTCCAAGTCCTTTACAATCACCAGCTTTTAGAGACAACATTGCAAGAAGACCCTTATTCACAATTTTTGTCTGCATCTCTGATCAAGCCCTTGGAGTCGACTTCTAGAAGAGCAATGTTAGGTTCTACGTATATATTACTACGTGACTTTTGGTCGCCATCTTCAGGGTCATAAGCATCTCACATTCTCTTCTCTTCCTAGCCAACTCAGTCAGCTTTCATTAGGATACTGGGAACACCTCAAGGATTAATGCATCATCCGCTCACTTTCCAGTTTTTTAGTTTGACAGTTGTATAAAAAAATGGATGGTTCCTTTGTAAAATTGTAAAATCTACAATTAGCCTATGTTTCTTTAAACTGTATTTTGATGAAACCACTCCCTCCCTGTACTCCAAACACAGGGGGGTCCCAACTCTCAGAGAACCAGAAGAATTGCATCTTGATACCCTCACACAAGTTGTGTGTGTGTTGGGGGGCGAGGGGGGGGAGGTGTGAAAGAAGTCCTTTTTGTGGTGAGGAATGAGGAAGTAACCAAAGTAGCATATGTAAACCAAATAAAAGGCATGAATGAGACTGTGACGGAGTAGCTGAATTTCTAGGCACTTTCTTCCTAGAGGTCTTTACAACGTGCATAGTACAAGGTTTGCCCTTTGCACAAACCACATTGGCTAAGCTGCCATCCAGAAAGACACAACTTCTTGGATGATTCAATTAAACTAGAATCAAACAATCTCAGCTGCAAAGGAAAAAGTCGCCTCCCCCAAAGCAGAGCTCAGAAGATGCAGCAATACAACATGCAGCATCCAAAGCTGTTCACTTATACTGTGGCTTTAGAGTCAGAAATAAAAGGAGGGAAAACTTGGTGTGGTCCTCAATTCCTGATCGCAGTCTCGAAGGCCTGATGTCACTATGGCTAATCATGTCTAGTTCTGCCACGTTGTAAACTTGTTGGGAACAAGTTTTTCTGTATACTTAGAAAGAACTGGCCAAGTGACAGAACTAGCAAGATGGCTCCTGTGAAGAACTGCAATTAAGGAGCATTTCTGGCTGTGCTGATAAGATGGCTGTCGGCAAATGTAGCACTACACCGGTTTACTTTCTTCTCTCAGAAGACCTACTCCTTACTTTTCCCAAGGTTTAAAAATCATGTTAACAATAAGCAAATACAGCAAGGCCAGATGCCTTCCGTGGTCAGATGGTTCATTGTTTAAAAAGCTTCAGCATAAAATCCAAAAGATTGTTAACAGATGCAGTTTCTGGCTAGCGACTGGGAAAAACCTCCCTTAAACAAAAGAGTATGTTGTGATTGGAACTAAAAAGGGAATTACCTTTAAAGATAAGAACCACAAACATTTCCTATTTGAAAATACCCCCAGCCTCACCAACAGGACTTTTTTTGGGCCTCCCATGTAAGTTAACAATTTTGACAGTAGATTGCTGCAGATGACAAACTATAGCTGACCAACCAGTCCCGTAATTTTTACAGATTTGTTTGGACTTTCAACAAGGCCACAGTATCCATCTCTTGCTCTCCCCCAGATTACTCAATTAGGCAAAATTCCAATTAATTTCTTTCCAATTTTTTTAGCCCCAGAAATACTGTGCTTTTTGGCTCTGGAAATGGGTTTTCAACTGGAGACTTAGACAGAGACGTTTCAGAAGTGAATACAGAGCCTGATAAGCAGATAACCACTACTGGGACACAAGTCACCATTGGATGGAAAAGAGCCACTTGGCTGAGAAAGGACTGGCCCTGTCTTCAGTTCCCAGTCTCTCCTGCCTCCACAGCTGCTGTTGACTTTTACACAGAAAGTCTGCTTTTCACCAACTCCTGGGTCTGTTTCTGTTGGCTTCCAGGGCCCCTTACTCTATGGCTTCACTATGTGTGAGAATATCTGTAATGCCCTGGGTTCTAATCTTGAAAGCTAGAAAATCTCCATGGAAGGAGCCATGGTTGTGTGGCTTTCCCCCAGCCTGAGAAAAGAATGTAGTTTGGCTTCTAGTTGACAAGCCTGATTGGGAAAGGCTACATAGGAGATGCCAGGAAAATAATCTGCTTGTAGGATGAATGATGGCTGCCGCGGGCTCCATGCTGAGAATGGGCAGCCTGTCCCTTGGGAGATCACATCCCCTTGAGAGATATGCGTCATACCCTTTTCCTGCCTAGCTTTTGTGTTCTTTTCCGCATTGTGGTATAATCCCCATTGATTACAGCACCCAAAGAAGTATACAGTTTTAAAAGTATGAGAAATTCTAGTCAAGAAATGATGTGTTCTCCTGTCTTGCACGCTACTCCCCTCAGCAGTGTATTTCAGTAAATCTGCAAGTTTTTAATCTCCATTCTACTGAATCCTCGCACACCAGCCCCCACCCCACCCCACCACCACCTCTGGCCTATACCCCAGTTCTTATATGCACAAATAAATAAAATAAATCTTTAAAAGAAAATGCTTGGTCAAGCAGTGCTAGCATCCATTTTAAAGAGAGGTAGATATAAGCCTACTAGATTCCCCAAAGAGTAAAAGGACTTTCTGCTCAGCAGCACCTCTGCTAGTCATGTAAGGAATCCAAACTCCTGGAATGAGGAGCAGGAAAACCGCACTGCTCTCCAAGGTGTGTGCAGCCCAGCCAGGTATTAGCAGTAAGGACCCATCTGTCAAGAAATGGGATTCTGAGGCCAGCGGCCACAGCCACATCCATCCTCCTCCAGAGCCAACCCTGCCAATGTGCGCATGTGACAAGGTTTGCAAGGGGATTTGATAGGCCTGGAAATTGAAAAATGAGCAGCAGCTGCAAGACCGAGGTCATTACTATCCTCTGGGGTTTGCCTCTTCTAATCTAAGGGGCAGTAGTTTCCATGATTAACTTTCAATTGCTGTCAAGGGTGCAATATAATCTGGGAAAGAAGAAAACTTTCCCCCTCAGTAAGCTGCTCCCATTTTTCTGTCTTTTCCTTTCCTCTGGTGCATATTCTTAATCCCTTCATATTGTTCCCTAATTTTGAGCAGGAAAAAAAAAATCTGCCCTTGGAGTCTGTGTACACAAGACTCTGAGGATTTTTCTTTCTCAGTCCTGGGTGCACATATTTAGATGACTGCACAGAAAGTTCCCATTTCCAACGACTATGCACTACCATTGGTTTCAAAACTGAACAGATTTTCAACTTAAAATACTTTCTTCCGGGCATGCTATGTATCTTTTTCCTCAGTAATAACAAACAGTTCAATAAAAAAGAGGTTTTTAGTGGGTAAAAGAGAGTGAAGGCGACTTCCATTCACAAACACGTCTTACTGGCTCCTACTGGGTGAGGTGCCCTTACCACTCAGTCTGCAGTGAGAGTGAGAATCACACTGAAAGGTTACACCCGGCAGGTCTCAGCAATGTCCCCGGTACCAAATGGACACGGGTTTATCAATTACAACTGCTCAGGTGGAAAATTAAAGGTGCTTTAAAATTTTTGAGATTATTCAGCATAATGTTAATGACAACTTGGTGGTTCATTATACATTCATTTCCTGGCATCAGATATTGAAGTTGTCAAGATGAGCAAGATGTGACAGCTGACCAGCAAAGGCAGAAAGCCTGGTGGGACACATACAGGCCTATGCGGGGTCGCTACTCGTGGGAAGGTGTGTGCGGACAGACGGAAGAGGGGCTGAGAGACAGCCAGGTGGGCAAATGGAGGCATGTTAGTCACCTCGGGAGAGGTGTACTAGCATTGTGCCTTGAAGAGGTACTGCACTGCTGTGGTTTGTCCCCATTTGCTGGGGGTAGAAGTAAGTAAGAAGAGGGTCTGTTGCCTGTTCGAGAAAGGTAAGTTTTCTTTTAGGTGCTAGTCATGCCCCTCCTGCTCCCCTCATTGTGAAGTAAGTCTCTGCTGGGATACAGATAAAGTGGGAAAAGAGGGCCATGAACAGGCCTGGTCCCGAGCATGGGTGTAGGAACAATGTAAGGATTTTCCCCAGGGTTTAAAAAATGGCAGCATGAGCTTGATTGCAGGAGTGAGGTGCACAGGGTGATGGCCAGTACCAGGGTGCTAGGGAATAAGGATGGCACTGTTTCCACTGTACCCCATATCCATCTTATCCTTCTCTGAAGTAACATAATCAAGGAAAGCCACCACACAGAATAGCTGCTGCATTCCTTACAGTGAGCTGTGGCCACACAGCTACCCAATGAGATGTGAGCACAGAGCACAGGCAGGTGTGTGACCCCAGGGACAAGTCCCTAGGAGCTGGGGGCAAGAGGGAGATTGTGTCTCATTTCCCTTTCATCCATCTTTAAGTGTAGCATGTGAAACAGTTGACAAACCTCCTCAGAACACCAGGACAAAGTCACACTTAGAGATGAGGAAATGGAAAGCTGTTAGAAGGTCACAGAGGACTGAGCCCCCGCAATACTAGTGATAACTGACATACACCCAAACTTAAACAACAGGGAGAATCTTTGATCTTGTATGAGCCAAAGTTATTTGGGGCCTCATTTGTACAGGAATACAACAACGGTTACAGGTGTTGCTGGATGGTGGAGTCTTCAGTGAGGTGTTGATAAAAAACATCTAAGCAGTGGGCACTTTGTCACACACAGCACTAAGGTCACAACAGGGCTGTTTACAATACAAAGCACTTCAAGAATTGTGGTGATAAAAAGGGAAAACAAAAGGAATCAAAAATAATTTTCCAAGGAACCATAATCACAATGAGTATCTTACCTTTTTCTTGCTACAGTATATTTGCCATTTTTTCTCAGCCGGAAGTGCAAACATGGCTTCCCTGTGTTTGTCTGTGAGGTCAAGTTCATCCTGAAAAGAAAAACAGTAATTACTATTTCATAGCATATGTCCCGGACTTACAGGGGAACTTATCCACAACATCATGGTAAGATAAAAGCACCAACACACATTTAAATGAACTCAGAAAAGATCAAGAAGCCAAGTTAAGGTTAAGAAAGTGACTCCCTGGCAAGGACCAGGCATCCAGCACAGCCAAGGGATGAGGAAGGGAGCTGCACTTTACTGCAGGGAGTTGGGAGGAGACCAAGCATGGACAGAACTCTCCTGAACCACCTGTGCTTCTGTGAGGGCCCATCAAGCAGCAACGGTTATGTAAAGACTGGAGATTAGAAAGAAGAATTATATTATGGATGAGAATTGGCTGAGGATGGCTCCACAAACACTATTAGGCTAAGCCCTGAAGGATTGGACATGATGGCAGGAGGGAAAGTTCCAGAAGTAAAGGCCAGAAGTGGTAACAGACCTGATGTGTTCAGGAGACAATGGCAGGTTTGGCTAAAGTGCCCAGTTTATGCAAAGAATCATCAGATAAATGTTAGAAAAGTAGGGAGTGACCAGTTTGTGGAACATCTTAAATTCATTTTAAGTAATTTATTCTTCTGACCAAAGAGAGCCCATCAAGTTCAGAGCTAGGGAGCTGTATCTGTATCTCCATCAACTCCAACGTAAATATGCATTTAAGCACAGGACAGGCATCTTCTCGTTCAGTTGCCACAATAACCCCAAGACTTCTATTCTTTACTGCACCCTCATAATAGGAATCCCTCTTATACTACACTGGGGGAAATAGAGCTTAGTTGAAGATTTGGTCAGTAACTTATTCAAGACTGCAGAACAGGTAAATGATGAGGCTGGTCTTAATTCCAGAGTTGCTGATTCCAGAACCCAGACTCAGCCTCTCACATCAGTCCTGGGAACATTTAATTTTACAGTGGTGGGCAATATCTACAGTTCTGCCCTTGGGACCACTGGTCACACACCTAATACTCCCACCTTCATTTAGTCATCAAGTTCCATTCATCCTTCCTGGAAAAGTCTCATGATTTTCCCTTTGTTTAAGTCCTGCTGAAACCACCCAAATTTAAGCCCTAAATAACCTTTCTCTTGGCCTCTCCGCTGCTCTTCCAGAGCTCCCTCTAGCTGTGGTTCTTAAACTTGACATCAGAAGCACCTGGATGCCCGGCAGTTAGGATTCAGTGGATGGAAGAAGGGCCAGGAATTGCAACTCTGGTCAGTTTCCAAATGCTGCTCATGCTGCTGGCCTGGAAACCATACCTTAAATCCACCCCTTTAAAAACAGACAGCCCATGCTATTTTGAACTCCCTGTTCAAAAACTTGACTTACTCAACACTACCTACAAAATTCACTATATATCCTTTTGTCTGTCTTCTAAGGTCTTCCATTTGTAACGCCAGCTTACTTTGTCAGGCTTGCTTCTAGTGGGTCCGCTTTTGCCTGACCTTGCTAATGCCTACACCTCCAGAGCCTACCCTTTGAGGGCCTGATGCTTGCCAGCTTTCCAGGGAGACCCTTACTCTGATTAAAGCTCTACATCTTCATCTCCAGGGTGGGCACAGATCATGTCTTTTTCAGGAAGTTGTAAAAATTGGCAACATCTAAGCATGAAGTAATATACTTTGCATGAGCCTAGTAGGCGACGGGAGCAACTGTATAGTTTTATATATATATTTATATGTAGTTTTATATATATAGATGTAAGAGACTTCTATATAGTTATAGTTATTTCTCTTGTCATTTAAATACAGATCTGGTGCTATTTTTCTCTGAAGAGTCACACGAAGTGGTAAGTCACTAAAACACACACCTTATACCCTCACATATAAGAAACTAGTTATCGAGAATTTCAATAGTGGACAACCAGGGAAGGGTATTTATAGAAAATTTCATTCTAAGGAAACATGTTTAAAATGTTTATATTTTGGCATCCAACTCTTATATGTGAAACAATTATTTTTCTTCCTGTCTTCCTTTTCCATTTTCCTGTAAATCATAGCTACTCTACTGATGAAGAAGAAAACATTTAGCTGGTTTTTCAGGGGGAGCAGAGTGGAGTTCAGGTTAGTTATTCAAATGGCCAATGTAATGGCGCTCAGTTTGAGAAAAGTTTGGTGATTTGTTCAAAGAGGACAGTATATTATTAGCACATCCTTTACTATACTTACAGGACAGTGTTTGCTAGCTGAGCAGAGTTGTGAGGAAATGTGTGAATCCTAAACCCTAGAAAAATCATAGCAAAGGGTATTAATATTACCATATTTTGCTTTTAGATGTAAGAGACTTCTACTGATACACAGAAATGACCAGTTTTGAGTTGAGAGAACACTAGGACTTAGGGACATATAACTTCATGTAAAAAGAGAATTTCTATAAAATAAAAATATAGAACACTGCAGTAGGTACTCTGGATATAGTTTTCTATAAGAGAATGGGAAGGGAAAAGTGACACTGGAAATATTAACAACTAACTAATTACTGAGCACCTTCTGTGTGCTTAGTGCTACTGGTTCTAGATTAAGTTTACCCTCTATAAAGAGGATAAGATGACTCCATTTTCCAGAAAACTGAATCAGAAATGAAACAGCTTGCCCAAGGTTAACAAAGCTAGAAATGGTGGAGAAGGAACTGGAGTCCAGATTGTCAGGTTACAAGCTCATGTTCTTCATGTCTAGTCTTTCATCCTGTTGATCATTTAACAAATAGGCAGAATCATGACACTTGACGCAAATATCTGCATCCATCTGCTGTTTTCTCAGCCCACTGAGTGTCTACTCTCAGGAAAAGATGAACTCTGTTGTCAGAGAGTCCTGCATTCCTGGTGAGTTTCTTCTGAGTTAGGCAACCTTGAACAAGGTACTTAATCCTCTGAACTTAAATTTCAGAGGTAAGAACTGATAATGTGTAATATATATCTGATAGAAGTAAGTCTGGTAGCAAATATGCCTGACAGAGTTAAGGATTCATTCATGCAACCAACATTTTTTTTTTTTTTTTTGAGAGTCTGCTAAATGCTATGGCATTGTGCTAAAGTACAGGGAGCAAAAAGGGAGCTCATATTCTCAAGCAGGCAGACAGGAAATCAAACAATGTCATGAACAGAGCGATCACACAGGAAACTAAACTTTGAGTGCCCACTTGTTGTAGGGAAAGGTGGGGCTATCCTGGGGAAGTGAAATGAGGGCTTAGAGATGAATATAAATTAAATAGGCAAAAGTACCACAGACAGTGAACAGCTGCCTTGGAGCTCACTATGAGCTCTGGTCTTTATCCTAAGATCAATCAGAGGTTACTGGCAGATTCAGAACAAGGTGACAGATGAAATTACATAATAATGGGAGTGCCTAGGCACAATACCAGTGTAATAAGACCCTCCACCCTTCCATTCCAAGTCTCTCTGCTTTGACTCATTCTGTTTTAATAAAAGGACTGAATGCAAGAATCTTGACTGCCACAGCCTTAGACATCAATTAGTATTTACAGTACTAACTCATTCAAGATCATGACCAAACATTACGAAGACTACAAAGATCAGTGACAGACACTGGTTTCCTAGAGTTTGTAATGTAGGTAAGAAAATAAGATGACTGGGGCTTCTAAAACAGGATCCCCTTCCTTTTCAGGATAAAGTCCCAACTCCTTAGATCCAAACCCCTTCAAGTGAGAGCCTTTGCAGACCTGCCCTATCTCCACTACCCCTCCAACAGCAATCACCTGAGCATGTCTAATCACAAGTTGTCAGCTTCTGCAACCTTTGCAGGTACTGTGCCCTATTTCCCTGAGAGACCTTGCCACCCTGTACAAGCTTAGTTCTACCCATCTAAGCTTTTACAATGTGTCAACAATTCCCTCCAGGCAGCCTATCCTTATTTTTCAGGGGTGGGCAGCTGTCGGTAACCTTAGAGCAATAATCTTAGTTATAATTATTGGCAAGTCTGACTCCTACTCTAGATTCATTCCCAGAGGGCAGGAACAAAATTTGCTTTATCCATCTTTGTACTATTTACCTATCCCCAAGAGAATATCTAATATAGTTGGAATATTTTAAAAAATAAAAGCAAGGAGACAGGTAGAGAAAGTTAGGGAAATTGGTAGAGGGAAAAGAGGAGACTGTCATAACAAATAGTAATTATCACTGCATTTTGAAGATTAAACCCTATTTTTCGCAGTAAATTGTGTACATAATGAATCTTAAGTATATGATTTTGAATTTGGCAAAGGCATATGCTGACACTTTAGAAACTCTCCCAACAGCAGTATGTGGCAGTTCCAGTTACTCCACATTCTCACCAACATTTGGTGCTATGTCTTTTTAATTTAGCCATCCCAGTTTAGGTAAAATAGTTACCCCAATGCAGTTTTAATTTGCATTTTTCTGATGACAACTGAGGCTGAGAAGCCCTCTTCAAGTGTTTATTGATCACTCATGTGTTCTTTATGTAATCACTGTTCAAATTCTTTGCCCATTTTTCTGAATCGCTGGTCTTATAACTGAAAGAACTAAAAAAGTTCTTTACATATTCTGGAAACATGTCCTGATTATCAAAAGTGTGTACTGAGATTATTTCTCCTAGACTGTGGCTTACATTTTCATTTTTTTTTAACTATCTATTTTGATCACCAAGATTTCTTTTCTTTTTTTAATGATGTTTCATATTTTTTCCTTTTGAGCTAATTATTTTTTATTAAGGTAACACTGATTCACAACTTTGATTTTAAAAATGTCTAATATATTCTCCTCCTCACATAAATTTATCCTTTAATTTTCCTCCTTTCTAAAATACTCCTTAATTCTTTTTGACACAATTATAATTGTTTTGATATCTTCCTCGTCTAGCTTACTCTTTTACATATAGAAAGGCAACTGATTTTTGTATGCTGATTTTGTAACCTTCCTTGCAGAACTGATTTACTGTTTCAATTACTTTTTCAGTAGAGTTTTTGGGTTTTCTATGTATGTTATCCTGTCCGATGGAAATGAAATTTACTTTTT